ACAGCTATCCTGCCTGGAGCACAAGCCGACCTTGCAGGCTGCCCAACTGGGACCTGAGGCTCCCTCTGCCCCAGAAGGCCAGGCCTCCCTCAGCAGGTCAGTCTGATCCCCTGGGATTCCCTGAATATGGCTGGCTTTAGAGACTTGCTTCTAAGGGATAGAATCTAGCAGAAGGGACACTGTATCAAGCAGCTGGGTTAGAAACGACAATGCAGGGGACCGTGGTGGTTAAAGGCACTGGATTCCCACATGGTCGACCATGGTTCGAGTCCTGAATCTGAGGCTTGCTTTCTCTCTCTCTTTCTGGTCCAATTCAAATAAACAAATGAATAAATAAAGTTAAATAAAATAGTTCTAAAAAAAAAAAAAGAAAAAGAAAGAAAGAAATGACAATGCAGGGGCCAGCCAGTGCATGGTGGTTAAGGTGGCTGGATCCCACATGGCTGACTACATGGTTCGAGTTCTGGAAAAGCACACCAGACACACACGTGTGCATACTCAAAATCCCTAGAGAATGGAAGAGAAGGGATGCTAGTGTGGCCGTCCTCCAGGGGTGCTTTCTCACTTCTCTCTCTCTTTCTCGGCCGTCCTCCAGGGGTGCTTTCTCACCTCTCTCTCTCTCTGGTGAGTGCATGTGCCCAACAGCAAACTTTAAAAGAAGCAAAGAAAGGGGACAGCAGATGATGTAATAGTTATGTCACTGGACTCCCACATAGTCGATTGCAGTTCAAGTTCCAGACCCGGCGTCTTAAAACTTATGCCGGGTGCATGTGCATGTGTGCCCAAGATCCTGAGAGGAGAATGAAGGAGAAGGGACTGTGGCATGACCACCTCCCCCCAGGGGTGATTTCTCCCTTTCCGTCTCTTTCTCTCTCTCTGGTGAGCACATGTGCCCTACAGCAAACTTCTCTCTCTAAAACAAAAGAAGTAGTAGCAAAGAAAAAAAGAGAATGGAACAAGCAAGTGGCATAGTGATTGAGGCTCTGGACTCGCACATGGTGGACCATGGTTCAAGTCCCAGACCTGGTGACTTGCTTTCTCACTTTCCCTCTCGCTCCCCGTGTCTCTCTCTCGTTGGATTTTTAAAAATACTAATAAATAGGGACCAGCAGTTGGCGTAATAGCTATGTCGCTGGACGCCCATGTAGTCGACCGCGGTTCGAGTCCTGGACCCGGTGGCTTAAACTCACGCCAGGCGCGTGTGCGTGCATGCCCAGGATCCCGAGAGGAGAATGGAGGAGAAGGGATTGCGGCGTGGCCATCCCCCCTGGAGGGTGATTTCTCTCTTTCTGTCTCTCTGTCTCTCTCTGTCTGTCTGGCGAGCGCACGCGCCCTATAGTGAAAATCTCTCTCTCTCAAAAAAAAAAAAAACCCTAATAAATAATTTAAAAAAAAAAAAGAAGACAATTCAGGGGCCTATCCCGTGGCCTCGTGGTTAAGATGGACGAATCCCACATGGTTCCAGGCTTGGGCCTGGCAGCTTGAGAATGCACCAAGCGCATGTGTGCATGAGCGAAATCCTGAGAGGAGGGAGAGGTGGAGAAGCATTTGCGGCGTGACCGTCCCACGACAGGTGAGTTCTTACTTTCCTTCTCTCCATCTCTTGGAGTGCATGCACTCTCTAGCAAAAACTTAAAAAGAAAGAAATGACAATGCAGTTTCTGCCTGGCTCTGGCTCTGACGATGCTTGTCCTTGGAGCCCCGCCAGTAGGCTCGAGGAAGCCAGGGCCACACAGAAGGGCTGCACTGACAGCCAGCGTCGGCCACCAGGCGTGGAGTGAGGGAGCCTCTGCTGATCCCAGCCCCAGGCTGCAAGCTGGACAGGCTGATGCGATAGAGAAGGGACAGCTGTCCCCACTGAGCTCCGCCCAAACGGCAGGTCGGGGAGGACACAACTGCTACGTGAGGCCTACGTGGTTGGCTCTGGAGCATTAGGTGACTGGAACAAGCTGCAAGCCCGGGCTGCCGCTGTGTGCCAAGACAGCTGGTGTGGGGGACGCAGGGCGCGGAGGTAGGAAGGGCTCTTCAGCCTGGGGCCTCTGGGCTTTGAGATCTCAGGATTCAGATTTCCACCAGGCTCCTCGGCTCTGACCCCAATTTCTGCTAACCTTCCGAAGTGGAACCCGGCTTCCATCTCTGGTCTATCAGGGCGGCTCAGAGCCTTGTGATGGCTGGAACGGGGCCTGCCTGTATTTGCATGTTATTTGCGTGTCATTTGCATACATCTCCATGGATCACTCAGGTGGCTGTTTCCGGCCGCCTCCCTGGGGTCCTAGCATCCTCAGCTCTTTAGAGACAGGTCGTTGGTCCAGCCTCCCACCAGCTTCTACTTGAGTCACCCTCTCCAGGTAGCGCTTGGATGGCTGCAGTTGTTAAAAGGTCCTGTGTGTATGGGCCAGGTGGTGGCATGGTGGTTAGGGTGCCTGGATCCCACATGGCCAACTACACAGTTCGAACGCCAGACCCAGCAGCTTGAAAAACACAGGCCAGATGCGTGTGCATGCGTGCCCAAAATCCTAAGAGAATGGAGAAGGGATTGTGGTGTGGCCTCCCCAGGGGGTGCTCTCTCTCCCCAGTGAGCGCAGTGACTCATTCACCTGTTTTTCTCAGCCTGGGATGGAGGACCACAGTCCTTCCTCACAGACAGCC